GGGCAGGTTTGAGCAGTTCTCCTCTGGGAGGTGGAGAGGACACAGTCACCCTGAGGCTCCTGGACAGAATGAAGCTCTCTGGGAAGACAGAGCCTTCAAGGGAATGGGAGGGGCAAAGTCTCAGGGCTTCCCTCACCATTTAAGCCAAGACTTTCCTATCCAGACCATAAACGCATTTGTGTGCTCATGAACCGTCAAATATCAAACTTATATCAGGACCCAGTCCTTAAGTCAGTTCACCTTTATTTGGAAGGAAATAATGGTGCTTCTACTACTAATTTCAAGGGATTTAGACAGTTACAATTTGAAATGAGATTTTCTGCTTCAGTTTCTCTGCTGGTCTGTTTCAGTCGCTCAGTCGTGTCCAACTCTTTGAGACCCCACGGACTGTAGCATCCCAGGCTTTCCTGTCCTTTACCATCTCCCAGAGTTTGCTCAAACTCATGTCCATTGAGTCAGTGATGCCATCCAACCATCTCATCCTCTGTCATCCCCTTCTCCTCCTGCCCTCAATCTTTCCTAGTATCAGGGGATTTCCAGTGAGTCAATTCTTCACATCAGGTGGCCAAAGGACTGGAGCTTCAGCTTCAGCATCAGTCCTTCCAAGGAATATTCAGGGCTGATTTCCTTTAGGATTGACTGGTTGGCTCTCCTTGCAGTCCAAGCGACTCTCAAGAGTCTTCTCCAACACCACAGTTCAAAAGCATCAATTCTTCAGCACTCAGCTTTCTTTACCGTCCAACTCTCACATCCATACACGACTACCAGAAAAACCATAGTTTTGACTCTATGGACCTTTGTTGGCAAAGGAATGTCTCTGCTTTTTAATACACTGTCCAGGTTTGTCATAGTTTTCTTCATAGAGCAAGCATCTTTTAATTTCAGGGCTACAGTTTCTCTGAATAGGCAACGAAACTGTTCCAAGGAGATTATAATACCAGGCAAGACCACTAGGTGGGGAGTGCAGCCAGCTAGAGCCCAAGTCAGGGAGGAAAGGGGTACCCAATCCCAGGGGATGCAGACACTGGGTGCTGAAATGAGAAAGGTGAAGGCAGTGACAGGCTCCTTCCTCGCTTTGTGTTCACATGCTGTGTCTGGAGCTGGGTGGTCATGCAGAGAGGCATGAGGTGGGTTCAGTGGGTCGCAGGGAGTGTAGCGCTGCTCAAAGGTAACCAGGGTACAGGGGAAATCAGTCCTTGTTGAGCTATTGATGCCACATCAACCATCTCCCTGGAGCTCAGGCCCAGGGCTCCAGCTGAAGGGCTGTAGGTGATGATGCCAACTGAAACTGTGGACGGGATTGCACCCTGGGCCAGCCTCTTCCTTCCTTGGACTGCACAAGGACCGTGGGTTTCCTCGGGGGCATTTCTAGCAGATGGCCCCCAGACCTTCTGAAAGAGACCCAGATGGACTTCCAGTGAGGCCCAGTGGTCCCCTTCTCTCCCTCACTCCCCACCACCCTCAGCCTGAAATCCTTTCTTCTGCTTAGATGTCTCTGCCCATCCCGCTTTCCAAGGATTCGCTGTCTTCCCAGTAGAAAGGATCACATTTCCAGCCCAGTAGTTCCTCTGGCTTCTTAAAAACTTTGCAGCCTCACAAGTCCACAGCTTCACCCCTTAACACAGTCACTGAGGTTCTACTCAATGAGAGAAGGGGGCTCCACCTCACCCCAGTTTCTAAAAACTGAAATATCAACACCAAATAGGCACAGAGCCCACTCAGGGATAACTGTGTCATGACCAAAACTGCAGGGGGCGTTGCTCCTGGCTTCTGCACTCATCGAGGGCACATGTGAACAAAAACCCAAGGAGGGAGACATATACCCATGTGCTGGACCCACTTTAGGATGAGAGTAGAGACCCCAAAAGTGCATCCCTTTGTCTCACCTGAGTTCCAAACCTGCAGACAGACAAAAAAGTGAGGAATTCAAAACACCACCTTTCTTCATGATAAAAGCTGGACTGGGCTTCGAGTTGTGGTTTGTGTGTGTGTGTGTGTGTGTGTGTGTAAGCTCAGTCTTATCCAACTCTCCGTGACCCCAGGGACTGTAGCCCGCCAGGCTCCTCTGTCCATGGAATTCTCAGGCAAGAGTACTGGAGTGGGCTGCCATTTCCTTCTCCAGGGGATCTTCCTGACCCAGGGATTGAATCTGCATCTCCTGTATCTCTTTCATTGGCAGGCAGATTCTTTACCACTGAGCCACCTGGAAAGCCCGGAGCTGAGGCTTCATGTATGACACAAAAAGCGATCCCTAAAACTGAACCTCAGAACTGGGCTCATCCACACAGCGTCACACAGCTCCAAGCACTCACACCCACCCCCGCCTCACTGCCCCAGCCCCTGGCCCCGTGCACTTGACCTTGGAGGGGCTGAGAGAGCCCCGGCCAGGAGCAGACTCACCCCTTCCACCCACCCCCAACCAGAGCCTCTCAGGAGTGGGGAGCAGGGGGTCCAGGCGAGCCCCGCTGACTGAGGTGCTGCCCTGGAAGGGGGCCCTGGAGCCGGCCTGAGTGTAATCATGGGTCCCAGGTGCCCGCCCCCCCTTCACTTCAGCTCCTATGGAGGAGCCAGGGGTCTTGATCCTCCAGCCCCAGCGGCCACGGTGGCTGCTGCTTCCTACTGCCCTGCAGGTTCAAATCCCAGATCCCACTGTCTCGTCTCAGGGACAGGCCTCGGGTCCCCACGGGGCTCTCCCAGCTGGGAGACCACCCCCACTACTCAAGTCTGAATGGAAGCTGCTCCTGGTGAAGCTTGTGAAGCCCGTTGCCCTGGCAAATCCTGTGCCCCGTGGTCGCTCCTCAACCACGGCCTCTCCTGCCCTGTGGGTTTCCAGGTCTGATAACCGGGCTCCTCCTGTGATAGCAGAAACACTCCCACGTCAGTGCTCCTCGCAGCCACGGAACATGCCCCAGGCGTCTCCTTATTTCCTTCAGTCACTCCAACAGGGTCTTCTTTTTATTTTTTTAATAAAATTATAGGTGATGTTGTGTTAATTTCTACCTTACAGCAAAGTGATACAGTTGTACACATATATCAAAGTGAGTTAGTCACTCAGATGTGTCCGACTCTGTGTGACCCCATGAACTGTAGCCCACCAGGCTCCTCTGTCCATGGGATTCTCCAGGCAAGAATAATGGAGTGGGTTGTTATTGCCTTCTCCAGAGGATCCTCCCAACCCGGGGATCGAACCCGGGTCCCCTGCATTCCAGCCAGATTCTTTACCATCAGCTCCATCAGGGATGCCCATTTATATATACATTCTCATATACATATATTTTTTCTTTTCCATTATGGTTTATCATAGGACCAACCAGCATCTGAAGCTGGTCCTTTCCTTTCCCAAACCTGAGAGGGTCTGACGTTATTTCCTGGATCAAAGAAACTGCGTTCTCCACAGGGACTTGGTGTGCGTCAGACCCCCCCACTGCTCTCACGGGTGTGGTGCGGGCCCAGCTTTCTCTGACCCACGGGAAGTTCTCCTCCAGGAGCCAGGTGCAGCCCCAGCTCGGGAGTGTCTAGCCTGGGGATGGTCCAGCCTCAGCTAAGCGGCCTCTAATTCCATGTTCTCATCTCGGGGACCCTAAGCAAGCCCACAGAAAAGCTGGCAGGTTTATGTCAACATGCTGCATGGCGATGACCTGGTCTACCAGCCGCCCAGGGACAGAGAGGAGAGAGGGGGACCCTAGACAAGGCAGGTGTGGTCTGTGCCAGCCTTGTGTGGACCCTGTGCCCCATGGAGTCAGGAGCGGAGGACAGTTCTGCCCAGTAGAGGCTCAGTTCAATAGTCCTGCTACGCCCAGAGTGAGGGGGGACAGGATGGAGTCCACACCTATGCAGGACCTGGTACCACTGAGACCCAGCCCACCAGTAAAGATGTCCTCATTGGAGTTCTGAGTTCTGTCCTAACCACAGTGAAAAGAAAGAAGTGAACAGAGAGTAGAAACCCTCCTCTTATCTTCACACATGATTTGGTTTCATGCTGACTCGCGATCTGGTCACTTCTGATCCTTTGTGGAAGGATCTGAGTGAAATCTGAGTGAAATTCTGAATTCACAGAATCTGAGTGAATAATCTATGGACAGACACAACTCCAGGGCCAAGGGTCACCCCCTCAGCTGGGGTTACCTGCTCGTTCATTTCTACATGATCTGGGTTCTAACCTCCCTTTCAGTCTGGAGAGAAGCCTCTTGCCCCTGCATTCCCATGACAGTGTCCCAGGTTTCTGTTCATCACCCCTGGCTATGCTGGTGAAGCAACCCTGTAGTCGGGGCACCTTAGAGCCTTGCACCTAAGATGTCAACCCTCATCACCAACTGGGCTCCAGTCTCCGGCCCCAGAGCTTTGGAGGTTCTTCTCCTACCCCTGGCTGATTTCCAGGAACGCTAAAACTGTTCTCTCCACTTTATAAAGCTGAGCATTTGGGCTCACTCCTGCTCGGTGGCCAAATCCTGGGACCTGACCTGGTTGGTCCAGGCTCTCCTACAGGCTGGAGAGAAGATCTGAAGTCTTTGTCTTTCTCTCTTCCCTCGACAACCATCTGAGCAAAGGGGAAGGGGCACACCTGAGTTTGCCCTTGACCTCATACCAAACTCTGAACTGCCCTGAGAAGGCAGAACTGCCCTGAGGACAGTTGGGATCACACAGATGTTGTTGCTGTCTTTGCACAAACAGGTGGCCTCCCTGGGGGCTGACCCTGCCCCTCCCTTGGCCCTCCAGGCCCTGAGGGTCACTCCTTGTCTTGCATCCCTGGGACCACAGGTCTTGATGGCTGGAGGCACCAGGGAGCTGCGGGTGGAGGGAGGGAGCCGGTATCTGCCAAGCACAGCTCACTGGCAAGTACTTTCACTTCTCTTTTCCCCTCTATGGGTGGAGCCACGGGCCCCTGAGCTGACTTCCTGCTCGGGCTCAGGGCTCCGGTGGCCTCTCGGAACCCAGGCTGGGGAGACTGGAAGAATTGAATCGGAGGCCAAGCTCAGGCCCAGGCCAGGCTGGGTGGGAAAATGGCCGGAGAGGGCAGAGAGCTCAGCACCAGGTCAGTCTTTCTCCCCCTTCCTTCCGCCTTTCCCTGTGGCCAGCTGCTGTTCAGTGCTGTCTTTGGACTCTGCACTGAACCTTTGCTTTGCACCTGGTGTAGGGGAACCTTCGCCTGCCGTATAAGGGTGGACAGGAATGTGTGATGAGGAAATGGGATTTTAACTGCAGCAGGGCGCCTGCTGGTTGGGTCCTGCCTTCACAACACACATGACTGCTTGTTTTGAAAATACTGCTGGGCTGGCTGGTCTGCCTGAAGGCGCCTTGTCCTTTATGACGCATTATTTCCTAGTGACCCGAGATCACTCTCATTTCCCTCACATCAGTTCTACCTTTGCATAGATCATTTCGAAGAAGACAGTTTAGAAAACATGAGATTCAGGGTAACCCCCTGACTTATTTTGAAACCCTGGGTGGTGTGGGCTCTTGTCTGTCCTGTGGATGACACCTCTGTCAGCTCTGGAACTAATCTCGTTTCTGACTGGGGGTCCTGCACTCCTCCTCCAGCCATCCTGAGCAAAGAAACAAAAAAAAGAGAAATGCCCTAAACTGCCCAGGGCTAGCACAGGCTGAGTAATTTTAATGTTTGGTTTCATTTTCTGTTCTGGAACAGGTTACAAATCTACAAGACAAAAAAGTAGTGTTTCTATCTTTCTCTAGTAATGCGTCAGAAATAACATTACTTAATATTTGAAATTTTTAATTTTTTTAATACAAAAGAAATGCATATGGAGTCTGGCTCATAAAATTTCAAACAATACGGAAGTGGAAAGATGGAAAAAGTCCTGTTCACAACTCACCCGCTGGCAGCTTCCAATCCCAGTCCTATTAGAGTTGCAGGCATAACCCTCCAGATTTGTTTCTATGCACTTATGTATATAACTTATTTTCCTAAATACATAATTTAAGCCCTGTTTTTTAAAACATGGAATTATACTGTAAATACCTTTTTTCATTTTCACTTAGTTTAATAGTGAAAATCATAGAAATTTTCTTTATAATCATAGGTTTGCCTTATTCCTTTTTTTTCTTTTTTTTTTATTAGTTGGAGGCTAATTACTTTACAACATTGCAGTGGTTTTTGTCATACATTGAAATGAATTAGCCATGGATTTACATGTATTCCCCATCCCGGTCCCACCTCCCACCTCCCTCTCTGCCCCATCCCTCTGGGTCTTCCCAGTGCACCAGGCCCGAGCACTTGTCTCATGCATCCAACCTGGGCTGGTGATCTGTTTCACCCTGGATATACATGTTTCAATGCTGTTCTCTTGAAACATCCCACCCTCGCCTTCTCCAACAGAGTCCACAAGTCTGTTCTATACATCTGAGTCTCTTTTTCTTTTTTTGCATATAGGGTTATAGTTACCATCTTTCTAAATTCCATATATATGTGTTAGTATACTGTAATGGTCTTTATCTTTCTGGCTTACTTTGCTCTGTATAATAGGCTCCAGTTTCATCCATCTCATTAGAACTGATTCAAATGAATTCTTTTTAATGGCTGAGTAATATTCCATGGTGTATATGTACCACAGCTTCCTCATCCATTCGTCTGCTGATGGGCATCTAGGTTGCTTCCATGTCCTGCCTATTATAAACAGTGCTGCGATGAACATTGGGGTACACGTGTCTCTTTCAGATCTGGTTTCCTCAGTGTGTATGCCCAGAAGTGGGATTGCTGGGTCATATGGCAGTTCTATTTCCAGCTTTTTAAGGAATCTCCACACTGTTTTCCATAGTGGCTGTACTAGTTTGCATTCCCACCAACAGTGTAAGAGGGTTCCCTTTTCTCCACACCCTTTCCAGCATTTATTGCTTGTAGACTTTTGGATAGCAGCCATCCTGACTGGCGTGTAATGGTACCTCATTGTGGTTTTGATTTGCATTTCTCTAATAATGAGTGATGTTGAGCATCTTTTCATGTGTTTTTTTGCCATCTGTATGTCTTCCTTGGAGAAATGTCTGTTTAGTTCTTTGGCCCATTTTTTGATTGGGTCATTTATTTTTCTGGAATTGAGCTGCAGGAGTTGCTTGTATATTTTTCAGATTAATCCTTTGTCTGTTGCTTCCTTTGCTATTATTTTCTCCCAATCTGAGGGCTGTCTTTTCACCTTGCTTATAGTTTCCTTTGTTGTGCAAAAGCTTTTAAGTTTCATTAGGTCCCATTTGTTTATTTTTGCTTTTGTTTCTAAAATTCTGGGAAGTGGGTCATAGAGGATCCTGCTGTGATTTATGTCGGAGAGTGTTTTGCCTATGTTCTCCTCTAGGAGTTTATAGTTTCTTGTCTTACATTTAGATCTTTAATCCATTTTGAGTTTATTTTTGTGTATGGTGTTAGAAAGTGTTCTAGTTTCATTCTTTTACAGGTGGTTGACCAGTTTTCCCAGCACCACTTGTTAAAGAGGTTGTCTTTTTTCCATTGTATATCCTTGCCTCCTTTGTCGAAGATAAGGTGTCCATAGGTTCGGGGATTTATCTCTGGGCTTTCTATTCTGTTCCATTGATCTGTATTTCTGTCTTTGTGCCAGTACCATACTGTCTTGGTGACTGTGGCTTTGTAGTATAGTCTGAAGTCAGGCAGGTTGATTCCTCCAGTTCCATTCTTTCTCAAGATTACTTTGGCTATTCGAGGTTTTCTGTATTTCCATACAAATTGTGAAATTATTTGTTCTAGTTCTGTGAAAAATACTGTTGGTAGTTTGATAGGGATTGCATTGAATCTATAGATTGCTTTGGGTAGCATAGCCATTTTGACAATATTGATTCTTCCAATCCATGAACACGGTATATTTCTCCATCTGTTTGTGTCCTCTTTGATTTCTTTCATCAGTGTTTTATAGTTTTCTATTATAGGTCTTTTGTTTCTTTAGGTAGATATACTCCTAAGTATTTTATTCTTTTTGTTGCAGTGGTGAATGGTATCGTTTCCTTAATTTCTCTTTCTGTTTTCTCATTGTTAGTGTATAGGAATGCAAGAGATTTCTGTGTGTTAATTTTATATCCTGCAACTTTACTGTATTCGTTGATTAGCTCTAGTAATTTTCTGGTAGAGTCTTTAGGGTTTTCTATGTAGAGGATCATGTCATCTGCAAACAGAGAGTTTCACTTCTTCTTTTCCTATCTGGATTCCTTTTACTTCTTTTTCTGCCCTGATTGCTGTGGCCAACACTTCCAAAACTATGTTGAATAGTAGTGGTGAGAGTGGGCACCCTTGTCTTGTTCCTGATTTCAGGGGAAATGCTTTCAATTTTTCACCATTGAGGGTGATGCTTGCTGTGGGTTTGTCATATATAGCTTTTATTATGTTGAGGTATGTTCCTTCTATTCCTGCTTTCTGGAGAGTTTTAATCATAAATGGATGTTGAATTTTGTCAAAGGCTTTTTCTGCATCTATTGAGATAATCATATGGTTTTTATCTTTCAATTTGTTAATGTAGTGTATTACATTGATTGATTGCGGATATTAAAGAATCCTTGCATTCCTGGGATAAAGCCCACTTGGTCATGGTGTATGATTTTTTTAATATGTTGTTGGATTCTGTTTGCTAGAATTTTGTTAAGGATTTTTGCATCTATGTTCATCAGTGATATTGGCCTGTAGTTCTCTTTTTTTGTGGCATCTTTGTCTGGTTTTGGAATTAGGGTGATGGTGGCCTCATAGAATGAGTTTGGAAGTTTACCTTCTTCTGCAATTTTCTGGAAGAGTTTGAGTAAGATAGGTGTTAGCTCTTCTCTAAATTTTTGGTAGAATTCAGCTGTGAAGCCATCTGGTCCTGGGCTTTTGTTTGCTGGAAGATTTCTGATTACAGTTTCGATTTCCTTGCTTGTGATGGGTTTGTTAAGATCTTCTATTTCTTCCTGATTCAGTTTTGGAAAGTTATACTTCTCTAAGAACTTGTCCATTTCTTCCAAGTTGTCCATTTTATTGGCATAGAGCTGCTGGTAGTAGTCTCTTATGATCCTTTGTATTTCAGTGTTGTCTGTTGTGATCTCTCCATTTTTGTTTCTAATTTTGTTGATTTGGTTCTTCTCCCTTTGTTTCTTAATGAGTCTTGCTAATGGTTTGTCAATTTTGTTTATTTTTTCAAAAAACCAGCTTTTAGCTTTGTTAATTTTTGCTATGGTCTCTTTAGTTTCTTTTGCATTTATTTCTGCCCTAATTTTTAAGATTTCTTTCCTTCTACTAACCCTGGGGTTCTTCATTTCTTCCTTCTCTAGTTGCTTTAGGTGTAGAGTTAGGTTATTTATTTGACATTTTTCTTGTTTCTTGAGGTAGGCCTGTAATGCTATGAATCTTCCCCTTAGCACTGCTTTTACAGTGTCCCATAGGTTTTGGGTTGTTGTGTTATCATTTTCATTCATTTCTATGCATATTTTGATTTCTTTTTTGATTTCTTCTATGATTTGTTGGTTATTCAGAAGAGTGTTGTTTAGCCTCCATATGTTTGAATTTTTAATAATTTTTTTCCTGTAATTGAGATCTAATCTTACTGCACTGTGGTCAGAAAAGATGACTGGAATGATTTCAATTTTTTTGAATTTACCAAGACTAGATTTATGGCCCAGGATGTGATCTATTCTGGAGAAGGTTCCGTGTGCACTTGAGAAAAAGGTGAAGTTGATTGTTTTGGGGTGAAACGTCCTATAGATGTCAATAAGGTCTAGCTGGTCCATTGTGTCCTTTAAAGTTTGTGTTTCCTTGTTCATTTTCTGTTTAGTTGATCTATCCATAGTTGTGAGTGGGGTATTAAAGTCTCCTACTATTATTGTGTTACTATTAATTTCCTCTTTCATACTCGTTAGCATTTGGCTTATATATTGCGGTGCTCCTATGTTGGGTGCATATATATTTATAATTGTTATATCTTCTTCTTGGATTGATCCTTTGATCATTATGTAGTGTCCATCTTTGTCTCTTTTCACAGTCTTTATTTGAAAGTCTATTTTATCTGATATGAGTATTGCGACTCCTGCTTTCTTTTGGTCTCCGTTTGCGTG